GCTTCTGCACATCCTGTATAATTATCGAAATACATTAACATATAAAGTAATAATGGAAGAAATCACCAATACATAAATATTAAATATTAAAAGCAAGTATTTCTTGGCTGGTGAGAGCTCCTTGAACTTCACGGATTTAAATTTAAAATTTGAGAGATGTTGATAGACATTTGAGTTGATTGACAGTTGATACGATATGCTGTGAGGATGTTCATGGCGTTATCTTATTTCTAAAGAAGATTTATGGGATGATGGGGGGGGGTAGGGAGGAGTTGAGCAAATTATTGAACATATTTCATTTTATAGGTTCTTCCAGGAATTGGGGCAGATGAAAAGTAAGGAGGGGGAATGAGCGTAGGGTGGTTACTAGAGGGCAGAGAGCAGAATTATATTCGGCAATTGGCTGTTGGAAAATTGGTTTCGAGAAGGACTTTGTGAGACTGATGTCTAATATGTCCGGAGGGATCGTGCTATTGAAAGGGAAGTGAGTTGGTTCAGTAGGGGCTGCTCTATTGATTTGATTGATGTTATAATATGTGAACAGTCGAGCGCCAAATGGAGAGGTTCGACAGCCATGGAAGAAATACTCAGAAGAGGCCAATTGTGAGTAAGAACGCGCTGTGGGACTTAGGGCCGAATTCATAGCCGTCACTCACAGGATAAGCGATCCCTTATGTGATAACTGCTGTTTCAAAATAAGTGTTCACTTATTGGCGTTCGTATTTCATAGACGTTCTTTACGACCGCGGAATGAGTCGGAAGGGAAATGCTGCAACATGGCATTGGCGGCAGCTATTTGATGTTCTTGGCACCTGAGTTTACACACGCACTTCATCTTGTACAAAGAGCGTCCAGTTTTACAGAGGGCGGACACTCCAACGTATACTTGACGCCGCGCGCACGACGAAATACTTCTACTACCTCTAATATGTCCTCATGCAGACAATACGAAATGTTTTGATATTGGTGTATTTTACTAATGTAATTACTACAAATCACTAATAACAAGCAGATTTGTAACAATATAATCTATAATTGTCTTATAATTTCAATGGCTATTTGACACCGGTATCATGTTAATATTTAAAAAATGTATTTACTACCAATCCCTAATAATAAGAAATATTTGGTGAAAAATATAATCCATGAACGTCATATCAAAATTTTAATGAATCTCTGCAATGTCTTGTGCATTTCTACATATTATTTATGTACATTATTTGATTGTAATATAATACTTAACGTCAGTTTCAGCTGATTCCACCACGTTAATTTATGCTCTAGTATAACTAATGTACATGGTATGAACATAGATCTGTCAATATTGTTAATGGATTATTGACATTTCATGTAATTGAAAATGTCAACCCCAAATAATACTAACATAAATTCCATTTTACAACAATTTAAATTACTTCTTGTTATTCATATTGCTAATTCATTAATACTTATAGGTCTTATAAATCAGAAATCAATAAAAGTTAAAAATTTTGGAAGCGTACCTGAAAGGATGAAGTTGCAGAAAAACTTAATGCTACGAGAACTTTTAATAAAGGGGAAATCGGCAGCCCTCTTTTAGTCATTGCGACTTTGTCGATCATCGGCACAAGTGTATCCACTACAGTAGTTTTATTGAAACGAAACCGCTGTCGGAATTGTTCATCATTGTACATTTCCAATGGGTTGTTCATATCTTTAATATATCTCTGAATTTCGCACGATGTGTTGAGTATAAAACTCAAAATAATCTTTGAAATCGTTTTCTATTACACGTTTCACAAATGAGAGGTTTTAACTGCCTACAGTATACAAACACCAGCCAAATGAATTCAATAGTCGATGATCGCGGCGTAAAAGTATAACCTAACCTGGTTACGATTGACGATGCGAGGGAGCCATAAGGGACACTTAAGGGAGCAGGCTGCCTCGCTCATAGGGATGACTGCTCACTTAAGACTTAACTAAAGGGCTGTTTTGATAAATAAATAGAGATATTGTCAGGTATCAATATTTTAATTCAACTAATGATCATTTCGATCGCGTAGCGATCATCCTCAGAGATTGCAGCTTCTGGGCCGAAAACAAAGTTCTGCAGAAAAGCATGGCATTCGGGGCGACCAGGCACGGAAATAAGTGGCCGCTCTACTGCCTCAAAAACGAGTGTTCTCGCGGTTGCCTCACAAACAAGTGATCCCCCTGCCGCCTCCGAAACAAGTGATCGTTCCTTTCAGCGGCGGTCCCTCAGGAAGGCTCGCGTGTCACGTGATTCCTCCCCCGCATCGTATATTTTAATTGGTTGTCGCGCCACCCGTTGAATCCTCCGCCAATGACGGCGCCAGCGGCGACGCTACGCCCACCGGAAACTTCCCCCGAAGTTACCTCCGTCACGCAAATTCTAAGAACTAGGCGCGGGTAATTCCGTTGCTCGGTTTGGGGGTGCGGGTGGTGTATTTCCCCATACGTCAGGAGGGGTGCGTCCGGCGTGGGTTGCGCTGCACAAAGGAGGCGCTTTCCTCCTTTCCCTCGGCGCTTTAAGCGGCCCTCCCAGGTATGCAGGAAATGCACAGACGGCGTATGCCAGATATGCATTTCCGGCTGCTCTTAACGGCGGCGTTTTTCTTAAATAAAATATTTTGTTCGTGTCGTCATGTGCTATGTGCGACCTCCCATTACAATATCTGCAGTTATAATATTTTGTCGATAAAATCTATAGTAAACTGAACTTTTTATAAAGGTTATGGATTGTGTATGAACAATAATATTAACATTAAAATTAGCTTGAGAATCAAAATGCAGTAAAATTTGAGTTCATTTATTTCATATCAATGTCAAAAAGAATTGTGTTAAAACTGGTAAATTGTATGGGTTTATATATATTTCAATCAGTTTACTTTCATGTTAAAAAATGTTTTATTCCATAAATTTTTCTCTGAAAATATTTCCACTTCTGAACTAGGGATGTCCGCCCTTTTTTAGGCCATTCCCTTCGCGATTAGAATGGCTGCTGTTGCTTGAGAAGTGAGTGAGGTTTCGTCATGACAAGGGTTGCAGTGCAAAAGCTGAACTTGGCCGCAGACGATCACGATCATTTTTTTGTTTCCAAAACTGTACAGTGATGAAGATGGAGCCCTTTAGTCGTAAATAAAATCAGTTCTACAAAACCAAATCTTGAAGAAGGTCATGTACGATTGTTTGAAAACAGCTTTGCATAATTTCATCTTGAAGTAAATACCAAATATAAAACAAACTTTTTCTCAAAAGTGGCTACAATTGTTTTCAATTTTTTTCCCATGAATAGAACAAATGACGCTTACAAGAATGACGCAGGTCTCATTTTCGTTGAACACTCTGAATTTTTGAAAATTACAAATTGATAATTAATATTATAAATATCTCTATTGGGTACCATTTCCACTATTTAACTACCCTTAGAAAGACAATCTCTGAACATAAGATGGCGAAGAGGTGGCTTCATCTTTTCACTTCACATCTTAAATTCGAGATATCCGGGAAAGTGATCTACTATTCACCATAATTCTACTATTTGTATGTATTAATTTTAGTTTATGTTAGTGGGGACTTGTAGGGGAGCACCAGTGTGCCATAGTACCACCAACAAAAATAATTTTTTCAACACCAATGTGTGTATAAAATATAGATTTTTTTCAAAATATTTGTCTTTATAGTAATTCTTTTGACCGAGCGCTTAGTCATTCGATGCTCTATCCATACTCTCTTCAAACTCACAGGGCATAGTGATATCTGTCGGCCTCCTCCTAAACCCCTGAGACACCTGCGGGTTGGTACCGTCTCTATACATTTAACGCTGTATAAAGAACGCAGAACGCTGGTATGTACGCTTTATATGCGTCTCGTATGAATGAGAACGGTGCCAATTTCCAACTGGCACAGTAGTACACGTTCTGTTTCATAGAGTGCACTAATGGCACTACCTTCATCGAGCAGACTATTTCTTTGTCAAGACGCTGATGCCCTGATATTGTATACGTCTTTCCTTGGGTTTTGCATATGAAGAGGCGACGTATGCCGTGGGCATAAGGCTTCCCCTCTTCTTCTTGTTGCCTCTTCATCGAACTCAGGACGCTCTGACCTCTTGAGATAACTGTGGGCGCTCAGACTTTCAGGCTGAGTATTTTTTTACGTATTATTTTTAGTTTCTTTTCAGTTTAATCTTCACTGTAACGTAATAAACATTGTCACAGTAAAAATAAGTTTTGTTGTCCAGAAATTTTATTTTAGAGGTTACTAAACCAGTTCTGAAACAACGCATCGATGTTCAAAAACATAGACATTTGGTGGTCGATGTCTCATCACCAACTGACACCGCCAATACAACTCCGCACCGGCCACTGCTTTATTTTAATTTTGTGTTACAATTACTTATCATTTTACATGATACGATAGTTTTGTGCTTTGTAGTGCCACTGATGATGACATATTTTCCCGATCCATCTCTACCTTGTGTTTGTTAATAAATATTGTTTCAAATTAATTTATGTATCTTTAAATTTTGTTAACTTTGCAACGAAATCCCTGCGTCTACCACAGACATTACTTCTTTGCTCTAATATAAAACTAAGGACTGGACTGAGGAGTAGTAACAACAGTTGTTTATCGAACTGGAACGCGACAGATTTATATTAATGTCTCCTGCGACTAATGTTAGAGAAAGTGCATTGTGAGTTTCCGGGTATTAAATTATCGCTCAAGTTTGCTTGCTTTTCTTTTTATTAACATGTAATGTTCAGATATGGACGTCAACAGGCTGCGACGCAATTCCAAAATTACGCAATACTCTTTCCATTGGAATCCGTGCTTTGACAAAAAATGGTTAAGGAATTAATCATTGTTAATATTAAAAGGGACATGATGAATTTTCTACACCTGAAATGACTCACCCTGTGAAAATTTTGTTGCTTATTAAGACTTTTTTTGTTTCAGGAGGAATTTTGAAACGAGCTCCCTCAGACAGATTAACAATGATGGACATTCAAAATTCTGATTGGCTTAAAGATTGTCACTTCCCATCTTCTCCTGGCCCTGGAGAAAAGTATAGCCTTTTACCAACAGTATTATTAGAAGAGAAACTCCACACTTCAAAAAGTGAAAATGACTTAAGTGACAAGACAAATAACGGGCCTTCGGCGTTAGATATAGAGAGGAAAGCTCGCAATTATCTTCATGAACTTGGCATCACAGAAAATATGCTTGTGGAACACGTAGAACGGGGAGCAAAAAGTGCGGTAATTGGAACCTATCGCATTATTGTACATCGCCTTCAAAGACAGGCAACTGTGTCGTGTGCTACAATGTATGATGCTTCAAGAAGTTGCGAAAGTGCTGATAGTTCAGGCACTAGTCAGAGTGCTAGTTCTTCTGGATATAACTTTCCATTATCTCTAAGGCGACGATCAAAATCAGCGGCCGTAAAATCAAATTATATGAAAGGACATAAAAATCGTTCAAGAACATGTATAATATTGTGAAATGAAGTGTTAACTCATCATTCGATACTATGCCATCTGACAGAAGGGAATGAAGGTGCTACAAATTTTACTTTTATGTGTAACTGACGTTTTAATTATACGTAACTGACATTTTAGTAAAAATTAAAATTATTTTTCAGTTATAAATTATTGAGCTGAAAATAAACTTCGTATAATGTTAATTTTGCCAAAGCATACCTCTACAATAATTCTTAATGGATATTTATGTACTGGTCAACTATAAATATTGGATTATAAATGTATTTTGTGATTTTAAAATTTAGTTAATGTTCAACACCATCAATGTTTTGTTTCATTTCCTTGCGACAGCTTTATTTCCAGTACCACTTTCCCTGCAAAATCCTCGCTGTGCCCAGCGGTCGATGAGGACCGTTAGGTCTCCAACTTGTACGTATAATCCCACTAACCTGCGGGCAGAGCCCAAACAGAAATACTAGGCAAGGGCGATTGCTAATGCATTGGGAATGCATTGAATGCATTGGGCGATTGCTAATGCATTGAGCATGACGCCTTCTTCCCGTTTTAACTCTAGCCGCGCATTCTAGACAATGCAAAGTAGTTTCGTATTAATAAAGGAAAGCTGCGATCAATGTATCATTCAATGTATAATTTCCCCCATTCCTAATTTTTGGGGGTGTTCCTCAGTTGTTTAAAACAGTTCACTGGGAGCCAATTAGGAGGGACATCAAATTCGGCCTCTTTACAGCTTTAATGTATATGATGATAAAATTCTTGATATTTGGAAAATTCGGTAGGTATGTCCTATGACAATGCATCTTAATTTTGACGTCGAACAATGCCCCTGTTACATTAGTTGTTTATATAAATTTAAAGAACTGCTTTGTACTAATAAGGTTCGAAATTCGCAGTTATAATGTAAATAAGACTCTGAAATACGGAAGCCAAAGAGCTGTATAACTTCATATATAATTGAAATAAAGAAACGTGTTCCTTTACTTTTATTTCCTTAACCGATTTTTTCTGCGTTCTCAAATTGGATGGTTCTTTCCATGCTTCGTGTTGATTGTTGGCCTATTTGACTTTGTTCTTATTGTTGTCGACATTTTGAGAAACCTGTTAAAATGTCAATTGCAACTGAATGTTTATTTGAGCGAGAAGAGTTAGATCCTTCAGTAAGTGATGTTTTCTGCACGCACGGCTTAGAGTAAAAATAGAAGAAAGACATAAGTTTATATTTTCACAATTATTTTAATGTGTTTAGGAAATATGAATAATTTAATTTGAGAAATATCAAATAACGTACACATCGTGTTACAAAGTGAAGAGAGTTTTATTTCGCTGTTCCCTTATGGGAACATCGTGCATGCGCAGCTCTTTGTATAGTACATACGAGAGTTTGTGTCAATCAGCGTGGAAGAAGAAAAAGGTTGAATACGCTAAGACTTTTCCAGAACTATCATCAGGCTCAGTAAATGTTTCAATTGTTTTTGATGACTTGTCATGATATTTCGTAGAGACACATTTTCTCTTTATGTACAACAAAGGCGTGAGAAACGTTTTTGAAGCAATGTGTGAGAAACTAATAGTTCATTTTTGGAATTTGAATCTCTCTGGCGCTTTAACCAATTACCCGCTGTAATGAATTGAATGTGCAATTAGTGATATTTCGGGTTTTATTATTCTCTTAGAAATGTGTCTGAGAAACTTTCCATTTTTTCTGAAATGCAAATTATGGTCGGGCAATTTTGAAACAACGGTAAGAAACGAAGTTATTTATATTCTGGAAATGTGGTCATGACGTGATGTAAGAGATTGGGGAGGTGGAATGGAGGAAAGAAAGGGCAAGGAGAGGAGGGGGAGGAGATCTCGAAAGGAGGGTTGAAGGAATAGAGAAAGTGAGAAGACAGAAAGAGAAGAGCGAAGGAGTCGAGAGGAGGGGAGTGGTGAAGTGAGGAGGAAGGGGAGGGGGAGGAGAGGAGGGAGAAGGGAATAGCGAGGAAGAGACAGAAAACATCATTAGAGACATCTCAAATATGAACACAGAAACAATGCCTACGTATCCTACCATTACCCCAACCATTTTTTTATATTCTCGCCGTTACGTACGCAAGAAGAGAAAGTATTATAATCCTGTGCCGAAAAATGGCGAATTTTCGACAGAAAATTCTTATTGTCCGGTCCAGGTAACGAAAAAGTGGATAAATCTTGTTCGCATATATAATACATTATTTCCTCCACCATCTGTACTCAGAATTCCTTTTTTTGTGGTTCTTCTTACCGAAAAGTCGATTGACGGTGAAACCTCTCCGCCCGTCTGTGGTCAATGCTAGTGACTAAACCGTTCAGGATATTTTCTCCTATCAATCCATTGATATTCCCCAATCAATCTGGTTGATGTCGCGGCGATTTGAATTTGAAATAATATTTTAATTTTTGAATCCCGGTGATGTTTCAAAAATTTCTCGAAAATGACACTAAATATTTTTATTACACTTTGTTCTCGAATAGCGAAAAAGAGCAATTGCGGGTCTCATTCCGAGTTCAACTTTTATCGGCGTCTTCTTACAGATACAATATTGCAGATAAAGACTTTTCTCTTAATGAAACCTATTTAAAGGCATACTTTGAAATAAGGTCATGTACAATTTTCCGATAGTTTTTAGTTTCCGCGTAATTTTGCGTGGAATGTAGGTAATTTTTAATTATTTTAAACATTGTTTTTGTCAAAAACCACTCAATTTTTGAAAATTGTCTTCTCGTATGTGATAAAAATTGGTGTAATTCTCATTTCCGACGAACATCCCTGTATTTTCGAAAATTTCAAAAGATTAGCATTTGAAAATTACAAAATTGAAAGCAGAGAGTTTTGCTTTAAACAAAATAGGTTGTAAACTAGAGGGGCTAAAACAGCACGTACTTTCTCGCCCTTAGTAATATCAGAATTTCTCTCTGAATTAACACATTTCGGTCATAATTTTTTGTAACACTCGTTACAAATTGCAGAACGTTTTATGCCAAAACTAAATATTTTCAAGCAAATATCAACACAAATTTGACAATTATAACTGCTTTTCATACAGGTAAATCATGTCACAACAATGAGGCTTAATTCACAGAAATTCACGAGTCACCACGAATTCCTTTGTTGCATTCCAATCTGATACTTTCTGAAGGCTAGCAATTTGTATTTCATATATTTCAAATAGATTTTATAGAATTTCTAAAACAATAATTTGAAAATGTACAACACAATCTCTAATGTAACGAAAGTAACAAAGAAAAGCAAATGAAAAATATAAAAAGAAGAAAATATGAAATAATATACAAATTCTAACTTACGTTATTTCCAACAGCCTAGAATCACTTCTCATATTACGTTCACGAAGAACAGAATATTTGGAGTGGGCAACTAAGTTTGACGTCAAATTACTACAAAAATACTCATATTATCCAACATGAACTTATTTGAAGATCTATTTTTGATAAACACATTTCATTAAGAAAAAATTATCTTCGCAATTGTAATTGTAAGAAAACACCCAAAAAATTTTAATTGTTTAAATTTTGAAAAAATCTGGAATTTTAACGAATGAGGTCGGCGCCATTCTCTTAAGATCATTTACGCCACCTAAGGCCAAAAGAAAGGTTTAAGAAAAAATGGTTTAAAGGAAATAAAAATTACCTATGTTTGACATACAATTTCGCACAAAATACTCATGTTTTCGAAAAAATGAACATGCCATTATTTTTTATGTTTTGATTTAAAACATTTAATGAAGAAAAAATGGATATCTTCATAATTGTAGTTGTAAGAAGACGCCGAAAAAGAAATTGATTATTTTAAATTTCCGAAAAATTAGAGTTTGTAACGAACATGAGACCTGTGCCATTGTACCACCCGAGTGACATCAGTCAGATCGATTAGAGAATATCAAGTTTGAAGAAAATCGGCTGAACGGTTTAGCTACTAGCGTTGTTCACGGACGTTTAGCCGTGAATCTCTTTTTCGGTATTAAGGACCCACAAATCAGGGATTCTGGCGACACCTTTTCTAAATGTAGCAACTGGATTTATCCACTGTTTTGTTACCAGGGCCCGACAATAAGAGTTTTTCTGACTCTTTTTCCCGCAGCATTACATAACTTTTCTTCTTAAGAATTACCTTCTTAAGAGCTAGAAAGTACAAATCAGCTCTTTAAAAAAGATCAGGTGCAGTTTTTCTGAATAAACGAGTAGTTTTCACGTAATTTGTGCTTCAAATTAATGAAATATGCGGATGCTTCCCTAACTATGTGCGACAAAAGTAATTATCGGGGAACTGGAATGGATCAAAAGGATATGAAGAATACTGTAATTTTAATTATAATTATTATTGAAAATCCAAATATTAATTCGATTTCTACTCTCTTCGACAATTCTCAGTGTATTGCGACCACCCGTTTTCCTAAAACTAGAAAAAGAGTCACATTTCTCAGATGGGTCTTAAGCGCATCGGCGAAGTTTGAAATACGTGCTCCACACCGGAAGAAGAAGTGTAGAAACTTATCAAGAGAGTTCGCTAATGTAGAATGCAGACGACACAACTGTTTAACTTTTCTTGTGTTCCAACTGTTTAACTTTTCTTGTGAAATGTTAGAGGTTCTTAACTATTAACCAACAGTCAAAAATAAATAAATAAATTAGATATACAGGCTGTCCGGGGAGGAAAAGTCGAAACCTTGCAAATAAGCTCGTAAGGTGCTTTTTTTTTTAAAAAGCTTATTTTCAATGTTTCGACGCTTCCTCCCCGGTCATCTATACAGAATCGTGGATTTCTTTTTCTCTTAGAATTATGTATATCCAGAAAATTTCCAAACAAAACAAATATATTCTTAAAAAAACTCTTTGTACAATAACAAAACGAATAGAGAAATAAAGTTTGGGTCTTCTCTCTAAAAAAATTGACAAAAAATAACAAATACAAATACAATCTCACGATCTACACAAACACACTTAATTAAATGTTTACACAGGCAAAAGTATTTTTGTCTACAACTTCTTTACTACTATGGCCATAACACAATCTCAGTGAAATCTCTCTCTATTGCGATTCACTATCCGAATAAAAGAACTCTATTATTGTTATTATTATTATTATTATTAAAAAACTCAATTATATTATTAAAGAAGTCAAGAATTACAATATTTCACACGTGCCAGTTTGAAAGGCGTGAGACGTTACAATACAATTGATTTATCAGCTATTCCATTTTACAATCGTCCTATTCTATGCTGGTTTAACTACCTTGCCTTTACATACAAAAATGTTGTTTTAACAATGTTCGTGTACTATACCAAGAGAACTGAGTAACAAGAACTAAAAATATCAATTCTTTAGATTAAAAACAAGTTACTTTTTCCCTCCCTCTCTCTCTCTCTCTTTCTCAACAATTCCACCTAATTCGGTGACCAGCTTATTTTTCTTTATCACAAATTACCATTATATTAGCACAGTGCTCGCTCTGACCTTGACAATACTCGTATTTCCTCGTCGCGGAGTTGCTGTCTCGTCTGCGCGTGGCGAAATGTTATATTTTCTATCGGTCTCATGCATCTTGAACACTTCTTAACATGCAACAATATAAGTATGTTAAGTGCACTTGTACCTACCTGTAGGTTAAGAAATTAAAAATCCTTAGCAACGGGTTTAACATCCTTAGTAACGTAAATAAACAACAATCCATTCATCGCAAGTCAACATTATTTCGAAAAAATCGTATGGTAATTTTGTAATTGCCAAGTTTTAAATTCTTCGTATGCCTTCTCGTATCGTGCTTTAGATTTTTCAGAGATTAAATCTCGCGTGGCTTCCGCAGCTGCATCCAAAATTTCTTGTGGTACAGACGAATTTTTAGCGCCTATCTTCCTCGAGTCACGGTATACAAGTGTATTGTTGTAGATGTATCGCAAGCAATACCTAACAATATCAATTATCGTGCCGCAACAATTCATGTGTTTCATATCGCAGTAATGTAAATTTTCTCAAAAAAATTGAGATTTTTATGGTGACCGATATAACGCTGTACATACCACGAAATGTTAGTGTTATTACTGCCTCGTCCAAATTAAAAATCTCGGCTCCGCTACACTTCGCCTCGATTTTTGACTTTTGGCATCGGCAGTAATAACACTCGCAACATTTCTAGGAATGTTAATAACTATAATCTATTTCCCTTTTAGTGGTTTCATTCAAAAGCAAAATAACCACAACGAATCAATTGCAGAGTCCCTCACGCACACGCGGAATACCCGTCACACAATTAGGAAATTGGGGATCGCTATTATCCGGGACCAAGTGCAGACACAATTTCTTTCATAAGGAGTTATATTACCGTCACAGAACGTTGATTCCACCCGGGTCTTCTCGGATGTCGTTGTAGAGATTTTTCCACCTCCAGAGTTCCATCGAGTCATGCTGTGCACCATGCCTCGTTCTGTACGCTGCACCACGTACTGTCCGTTCTCAGGTGTCGTTTTTCCAATTGTTCGCCCTGGGTATGGCGACACGATTTTACCAATCCACAATACCATAGATGCCATAGATTGAAAGTACCAAATTACACTAGTAAAGTAATACATCAAAGTATTAAAAGAAGGGAAAGAGCTGAAACGAAATAGTTTCATTCCTTGTTACGTCCATTGTGTATTTATTCTTTCCCTTCATTCATTTCATTCGCTGTTACGCCTTGATGTGTGAATTATGAGATGATAAGATGATGATGATGAGGGGTGAATGGACAATCACAAATACGACCATGTCTGCACAGGACTCGAACCTGCATCTTCCTCGGCGCAAATGACGTCTGCCGTCCGCAAATGACCGTCTACCACAGTACAGACTTTTATGATGATGATTATTATTATTATTATTATTATTATTATTATTATTATTATTATTATTATTATTATCATCATCATTAGCATATAGGCCGTTTCACCACGCTACACGTTATCTTTCCAGGTCCAATCATATATTGATGGAGATTAACGTGTGTTTTTATGGGGATCAGCTGTATCCCTTGGTAAGCCGAGGTTGTTAAGCCTTGAATTATGAATTATGAGGTGATAGGATGATGAAGAGAGGTGATAGTGGCTTTTTGATCCATGTATGACCTAGGGAAACCACGAAAACCTCAGTCAGGATGGCCGGCCCGGGGATCGAACGCGGACCTCCCGACTGCGAATTCTGTGAGCTACGCACTGGTCCTCTTCGCTCAGTATTATTATTATTATTATTATTATTAATGGGTAAAAGATAAATAAACATCGAAGATTGAAAGAGACGGCACGACGGGTGAGAACGAACGGTGGAATACAGAGTTTTGGCAGAGTATAGGCATCAGAGAGTTGACGAATACTCGAATACTTCTTATGAGGCAGAGAGATAGCAGGCTCGGTGGTACTGAACAGGAAGACCGGCGATGGCGGCAGCGCGCGATCGCTTCGCAGGCCCATTTTGGGAACTCGGCGATTCTGCGAAGGTGTCGTGGAGTGAATCTAACCGTTTGCTTTCAATGTTAAATTCAGAAGAAATTCTTCGTCGCAGTCGGAGATGTTCTTAAGATCCCGAGGTCTCTTGATGCGTGGACCTGGTTGCTGACGATAGGTCGCGGTTCGCGAGTGGGGTGGCTCTCCTGCAATCAAGTGCCATCCTACAAAAAAATCAGTTTTCGGCGTCTAAGATGGTGGTGATGGAGGGTTTATCACGGCGAAACGGCCTGGCAGTCACATCTGCCCGCACCTCCTTCGCGTACTTTGAATCCGGTAACTTACTTCAAATTGCACGCTTTTTTACGGCGACGCTGCTTTAAATTTGAAATAAAATTGCACTATTTCAGCATGCGAAGGGATTCTAAAACTCGCTACAGATCATTTCTGGCTGGGATAGGGGTTGAAAGTTACAATCAAAGTAGGAATGAGGATCAGTCTGTCTGTCTCTTTTCGCTCTCTCTCATATTCCACTTGATTCTTCAGACCTCATTGACTCCTGACTTTTAAAAGAGGAGAGAAGTACCTACTCAGTTTGTAATAAAAATTCATCGTGGTTGACCACTTCCTTGCACAGGGTAAGGGTAGGGTGAGTAGTTAATTCCTCTTCGAAAACGGCAATCTGCATGGTCTTTAGAAGTGTGACAATTCGCTCGTCTGTACGTGCTTTAAGGACAACGAAAACTTTCCTGTGTCATATCACCGCTTGGAGCTTCCTAAATGATTACCCTTCTTTGGGACATGACATAAGGATGAATGAATTTTCTTCGGGCTGTTTTCTTTCGGCACAAAAACGCTATAGAAATCAACGAGATGTTTCAAGTATATCTTCTTTCCGGAGGAGGGCAAAGGGAGGGATTAGGTCCCAATGATGGGTGTTTCGTCCCTGTGCTCCCAACCCACCATGGAGTCTAACAAGAAGACACGTCTCTGGAAAGCCAGACTTAACACCCTAATATAGTGCGGCGCCACCGTGGCTCCTCGTCCTCCTCCTAGAGTTCAAAGACATACTGGATCTCGTACTAGACCGCTCCTATTGATTAGGGATGGGTAAGCTTCCGACTGCCCGTCACGAAGAGGTGTCGACCAAATGGAGTGGGACACGCACGCAGGGTCTACCTCAATGTCCAAGCTTCATGGCGTCGGACTCCTCAACTTCAGGTCACCCACTACCTTCGACACTGGTCGCCATGCACGGCAAGGGTGGGCAGTCAGTATACAGAGACGGCCAGGGAGGAAGAAGAAAGAACGATTAAAGAATGTATGTGACCTGAAATGAAAAGCAAGAGGATGGAAGATGGAGAAAGGAACACTTGAGAACCTTCTTTACATCCTCCCGTCAGGACGTAGACCGACCCACTTAGAGGGGTCTGTTTTGTTAAGAATAATTTTGTGTACCTATCATTAACTATCAGAAAAACCGCATCTAAATAACACATCACTTTATTTATACTTTTTATACACATTTCTATACAAATATAATTATGTACAATCACAGTTAAACATTGTGAATAATAATATTAATATCATTTACTAGTGAAAATATTTAGACCTTTTTCTGTCAGACTTATTTTTTAATTCACAGTTCTCTGTTGATTTATTTCATCCAATTAACATATCGGAAGAAAAATCACTGCTCTTTATATCTTTTTAAATACATTTTATGAAAAACAATTTTAATAGAAACTTTCATCGAACCGCTACTCCATTTATTGTGACCATTGGACCTGATAAATCTCTTCCCATTGGAGAAGGCTCATAATGATGTGACAATGGCCCTGCCACTTCATATGGAGCATCATACATATTTTCACTATCATTAACATTATCGTATAAATTTGGATGATTTGGCATACCATAACTGCCACTTCCATTTAGAGTGGCATAAGACATCACAGCAGCATTTTGATCTTCTTTGCGTAACGCTCCTTCAATATTTTCGGTGTTTTTGACTGGAGTTGGTTTGCGCCTACAAGCCCATAAACATGTATACTACTTTGTAAAATTCTATTTAAAATATCAACAATGTTTATACTTACAGTCTTAGATAAATCACTCCTAAAATTATTAATAGGAACAGAACAACACCAGCTGCAATTCCAATTGTCAAACCCAAGTTAGAAGAAACAGCCTCTTCAGCTGTGATGACTGGAAGAAATTTGTTAGGCTTTGTAATGTCTTTAAAGTTCAACATAACCTAAATGTTTAAAAAAACGCGAATGTAATTAACAAATGAGTGAAATCACTTACTTTCACATCGAGGTTCTTCACCAGACCAAGATCCATTTTCAAGACATTTTCTCAGATACAATCCTATTCTTTCAAAATCTTTTATACAATGGTATTCTACAGCACTGTTGTAAGTTGTTGACTGATTCATTATTATTACTCTACCATTCTCAATACTGCCTGGATGTTTGCAATCTACATCTGCAAATATTAAATACACACTTTTAAAAAGAACATGCCAATTGAAAGGGTAAAATATATTTTCATTGCTTCTGGTCACACAGGAATAATTTTAAAATATCTTCCTCTTTCAGGCCGCTAGGTTGATTAGTAGTGAAAGACTATATGTGTGGTATAAGACCAGACAACAGTTACTTGTGACACAAGCATTGCAAAGTTAATGAAACAAAAACAATGTTTGAGAAACAGATTGAGAGCTCTCAAGGTAATGCTCAGATACGGGCTGCAAAAAGGATCTATTTAATATCAAGAAGAGTATATTTGTTGTATGTGGCTTTTCGATTGTTGGTACTAGAATTTTCCAGCTAATATTTAGAGTAGGTATTATATTCAAAAGTATCCAGAATTTCTAGAAAATATTTGTTTCAAATAGGTTAAAATCATTAATTTTTCAACTTTTCAGAAATTTCTATACTCAACAAATCTCAGACCTACTCTTCAAAAACAAAATTACGACTGAGTGAATGAAATGAATTCTTTATGACTCCACAACTACATTTCAAATAATTTTCCAGACGTCAAATAATTTGGAGGATAATGAAATTGATGCAAGAATTACTATTCATTTCTTATTTATATTTCACTTACATTTACAGGTTGGTATTTGTCCTGTCCATCCTCCTTTCTGACAAGTACGTGTAGCTGATCCAGTCAGGTACTGACCCTTCTGACAAGAATACTGAGCAACTCCGCCAATACTGTAAGTTGTCACATGCACTATCATTCCTGGTTCTTTCTCTGGCTCTGAACACTGTATTTCTGAAAATTATATGTTAATATTTCTTATCACAAACATATACCATTAATAATTGCTTAATAATAGGAATACGATTTTTCGATTTTTAAAATTGAGAAATATACGTTGTTTTCGTTTCTGAAGCTATAGAATAATTTTATTTGTAAATGTTTTGATGTACTCAATATTTACTCAGCAAAATGTATCAATATTACATTTTTTGGTGAATATATATATATAGCCACTCAATCTAACATATCAGATTAAAAAAAATTAAGAGATTCTAAAGAGCACTGAATCGCTCAAAATAATAAAAGAGAAGCGAAGCACAATTTGAAATTATATACATTTTCTCTATATGGCAATAATTTATATTCAGATGTAGTGTTTCTATTTGCCTACGCTTGGCAATTGCGGGTTTCTACTCTTCAGCGCATTAACAAAATATCTTCCATTTCAATCTGGCAATTTTGCAGGAAGTTATCGAAGTTTCTGTTTGGATAATTTATAGTCAGATTATGGATACTTCAAAAGCTTGAGAGAAGCATATATAGCAGAATTAGCAACAGTCTCCAAGATTAAAATTCCCTTTGTCTCAGGCTCCTCGTGGAATATCTGTTATCCACGTAAATGCCCAATCACTCAAGCGAAATTAGTATGAAATTTCAAATATTATAACTGAAACGAAACCTGATTAATTTGCTAAGCATATCTAAAATCTTCAATAATATCAGGACTCATATAGGTATTTAATTATAAACTCTTTCGTAATGAGAGGTTGGTAATTAAAAGCAACCAAAAAGAAAAGTCGGGTGGAGGAGTTGCATTGTTTGTTCGTGATGACGTTACGATAGTGGCTAGTGGTTGCTGAATCCACATTGCCTTACGCAGGCGCGGATCCACGGGGGAGGGGGTGGAGGGAAATTTCCCCCATCTCAAACATTTTTCAGTAACTATTCATTTTAACTTCTCACGAAACTTTCAATAAACTAGTGGTGCTAAAACAGCACGTATTTTCTCGCCCGTATTCAAAATCAGTACAAATATTCGAAAAATTGTTCACGATCTTATTTTAAGCTCTATCTTCCAGGAACAGACTTCATTAAGGGAAAAAACTCTATCTTTAATATTTTAGATGTAGGAAGACTCCTAAAAAAATTAAATTTTTGCAGTTAAAAAAAATCGTTTTCAACGAACATGAGACCTGCATCATTCACTTAAAAGTCTTTTGGAAGATCTAAGAGAAAAATAATAACTTTTTTTTGAAAACATTTTTGAAAATAAATCATTTGAAATGTCCCAGGTGCTTCCTATAAAGAACCCCCAAAAATTAAAATATTGGTTTCAAATTTCAGGAGCCAGATCGATTGGAGAACATCAATTTAAGAAAAAATTGGCAGAATGGTTTAGCTGCTCGCGTTGTTCACAGACGGACAAACTTATGTCGTCAATCGATTTTTCGGTAGGTCCTTGGAACCACAAAACATTTTCGTTGCCAGGGCCCTGTGATAAGAGTTTTTTCTGCTGACAATTCGCCGTTTTTTGCGCAGCATTATATAACCTTCTATCGACCCATGAAGAAAATATTTTCGGATTTTTATTTAAACGAATAAAATCGTATCGCAGCATGAGCTGAGTTTACCCTGCGTCATTCCACATCGACCAAAACATTTTGAAAAAATCTTAATACCGATCACACTCGACTTACAGTCGGGCATTCTTCGTAGGAAGTATCGCTAGGATGGGAAAATATAATAACGAAGGGGGATTTTTGATGACCTAAAACATCACCTAAAATTATCAATAAAATACTCTTAAAATGCTTTTAAAATGCCCTAAAAGCGAAGAAAAGTGACGTAAAAACTTTTACCACAACAAATTCAGATTCGTATCTCAAGCTGTTGGAAATGTTACTGATGTAATCGCAGTGGCGGATCAAGGGAGGACCATGCCCCAATCCAAAACCAACCCCAAAAGTGCAAGAAAAATAAAATTGAATCACAAGAAAATATTGTAGAGACGTCTAAAATGCATCGAAAAAACAACCGCGCGTTGTAGCCTTTAATTTACAAACGGGAATCCTGTTTCTTGCTGTATTTTAGCCCAGTAGTACGTATGGAAAATGCCTTCGACTGTTCTCCAGTGTTCGCCAGTGGGTCAGCTCATATCTCTCTTCCTCCGCATGACAAGCAGTGCTACTGCGACTTCCACTATTGAGTGTGGCCGACGCAACCGGAAGCAATGTTGGCGGAGTAAGGTCTCTCTAGGTGCCAAGCGAGTGATCGTGGGCTACTGTGACATTTCGCGCAATTACAGTGTCCGAAACGAAAGAATAGGGCATGGAACGCTTACCTGCGCCTGGAAACGGCGCGGTTAATAGTACTAAAGAAGAGAAAGAAAATATATAAAAAGACAAAGAAGGAAAGAGAAAAAAATTTCATAAAAAGAAAAAATAGAAGAGGCTTGAAACATATTTTGTGAAATCCTGGCGGTTTTCGTAAGTGCTGGACAATCAAGTTTGTATGTAAGCGGATGTTGACATCTGTAAAATGAAAATTAAAAATAAAATACCCTAATCCCTCGTTGTTTTGCAGCTGTACTATAAAGTATTCATTAAATATTAAACTTAAAATTTTAATTTTGCTAAAAACATTTTATGATAAATAATTTCCCTTGCATATAATTTATATTTGTGCTTATATATAATATTCCCCTCCCCCCAAACAAATCGTCTCTATCCTCCTGGAGGCAAAAATCTTGTTTCCTAGAGTAATTACAGAGACGAATACATAGATTACAGTAACATTAGCCAACATGTCTACCAATAAATCTTACCTACCAATGGAATGTGATTTACATTAAACAAAGTTACTCACTCGCAGATATTGCAAATGTAATGAATGTATATCACCTATTTGAACAACTCCCTCCCTGTGAATATTTTAAATAATCATTTAAAGTGTGTTCTAATGGAAAGGAACCGCGTGTGATAATTACAGAGATGGATACTTGGATCTATTACTATTACTTTCTATCGTCGGTAGTAACAATGACAATCGTTTTAACAACGGAACACTTCTCTAAGAAAGAACTTGCTCGGCCATGTTACTCTTTCATTTCCCGTAAACATGTGGAGATGAGCATGACGCCATGTTCCCGTTTTTAGTCTAGCCGCGCATTTCAAACAACGCAAATTTCCTAACTGTTTATTAATAAAGGAATGTTGCGATCTATCCTATGTATAATTAATTTCCCCCCACTTCTAATATTTCTTTTGGTTCCTTAGTTGTTTAAAACCGTTCACTGGGAGCCGATTTGGAGAAACATCAAAATCAGCTTCTTTACAGTACATATATATATATATACATATACTGTATATATATATATATATATATATATATATATATATATATATATAGATAGATAGATAGATAGATAGATAGATAGATAGATAGATAGATAGATAGATAGATAGATAGATATGTGGATGCCCCGAAGCTTTTGTTGGTCAGACTTCAAAAAAAAAAAGTAAACAAAGAGTATCTGAGCATCAAAGGAACAGAACAGAACCTTTTTCCAAAACTAAATTCGATCTCGAGACATCAACTTGAGACAGGACATATGGATTTCGGGCAAGTAAAGATTCAGGACCAGGAAAGACGGAAAGACGCGAGAATAGTATCAGAAACGTTACATATAAAACTGAATGAACTTTAAATACTATGGTAGAATGTAATACTCTCACTGGAATACAACTTGTCTTTAAATACTCGCAAACACGACAACTTGCTTTTAGGTTTTAAGAATCAAAATCAAAAGTAATTCATTCTTCCTCATTGTCTCCCCTTCCTTGATGGTTGAAATAATTATTTGGCTCATAACCGTCTCCAGTTGTTGTTTCTAAATATACGGTTAACTGGAAGGAGCAGCAGAATTACGTACACTCACAGTGTTAATATGTTTTCCATAATATTGTAAATAATTTAAATAGTTCAGAATAGTTATAATTGCATTCCAACTATTTTCTAAGGTAAATTTCTGTCACCTAATATACAAAAATTTTAATACAAATGATAAAACAGTTATAATTTATAACTGTATTATTGATGGTAAAATAATTGCCTAGTGGTACAAAAAAATCCTCCAGACATGATGTATATGAATAAGTAAATCTGAATGACTGAAATTTAAAGAGGAACTCTTTGTTTCATTTAAAATATTTCATTGTAGAAGAATGTGAACAATTTATTACTATGTGACTTATACTACCGGCCTTAGGATTTTTTTCAGAAAGTTCCCCATTTCATTCATGGTTCATTGTTAAATTGATAACAGAGTAAATGTTTCAGAACGGTTCAGGATTTTAAATATGGTTTTCTATTCTATTTAGTTCTTTTAAGGATTTCAAAACATCTATATAGATATACTAATTGAAAAAACTGCCAAGAATTATCGACATTAGAAACAACAAGACAATAATTAAAGCCTTAAAAATCTGACTCTTATTATATTACGCATATTAAATTAACAATGATATGTACCTCTGCATTGAGGAGTTTCTGAGCTCCAAGTGCCATTCTCTAAACATAAACGCCTTCCATGCCCGTCCAATTCATAATTTTTTTCACATTCATACAGAACGACAACTCCATAGAATGTTGCATTAGACGCTAGACTGTATTTTCCATGAAGTGGACTTCCTGGACTTCCACAATCGACATCTAGAAAGAAGAATAAAGAATTATTATTTAAAGAGTAATGGGATAGAAGATACAATAAATTGATAAAATATGCTAATTAGTTTTCGAGTTGGTAGACAGCGATTGTTGTCCCATATGGTGATTCCTACAACATTCGCAAACAACACACATTCAAATGGTAAACCCAATAAAAACAATTCTTCCATTTACACAACATAATGAATCACAAAAAGACATAACGCCCCGTTTTATAATAATAATAATAATAATAATAATAATAATAATAATAATAATAATAATAGTAATAACTTGGCGAAGAACTATAGGCTAAATACTTGTTCGCCAGTACTGCACAAAGTTATAACTGCAGCTTAGCTGACAAAATGTCCAGACACCTAGAGAAGAACCATCTGCAGCCAGTTGAACAAAAAGGATGTGGTAAAAGTTCTTACAGTTGCAAGGAAATCTTGCTACTAAATAAAGTCATCTTGAATGATGAAAAGAAAAAAACGATTAATTTAAGCATGGCTTGGATTGACTTTCAGAAGGCCTTTGATAGTGTACCACACTATCCTGAGGACCCTGGAGATATATTGATTTCATCCTAGACTTATAATAATCAAGTTGCTAAAATCGTGCACAGGGCAATCGCAGTAGAGCATAATTTATTGGATAAATCTATACCGTCATTCTATAAGTATACACCTGTTCTAGCCCTGGAAGTAAATTCCAGGGTACTGGGACAGGGCAGTTCTAGCTTACCCTACTGTCGATAACAATAAGCCAGATAATTCTCCGTATAGATAGAAAAAGGAGTAATAATAGTAATCGCAGTACCATTATCCCACAGCATCAAACATAAAGAAATAGAAAAATCAAAATATTTAAACTTATCTTATGAACTAAGACAAATTTGGAAATTAAATGTTACCAAAACCTATCCACTCGTGATATCGGCAGAAGGCCTTGTCAGTAAAAACTTTCTGAAAAACTTAGCAGAACTTAAAATACCCCAAAACGCTCTGAACATGGGACAGCGCCCAATTATGTTGCAAATATCCCGTATTGTCAGAAAATTTATATCCTAAGTCCATTTCTGTGACCGAACAATCTCACTCCTTTAAAAAACTCGGGGGAAGGTGAGCTTTTTTTCAGTGAAAATAGCTGAAAAATAAGCAATATAATAATAATAACAATAATAACAATAATAACAATAATAACAATGATAACAATAATAACAATAATAACAATAATAACAATAATAACAATAATAACAATAATAACAATAACAATAATAACAATAATAACGATGATGATAATAATAATCCTCCACCTTGGGAGTACACGACCTTGACGTTGGTGCTGGAGCTTGAGTACCCCAATGACCCTGAGGGTTATGCCGGCGGTAGCTTAACTACTGGTAGGGCCTCCTTTGACTGACAGGTCGATGGGGAAGGGTCAGATGAAGCACTCCAGAAGACCTCAACAAAAGCAGAAGAGAACCTACAGAAGAGGCAGTCCACAGAAGACATGAAGTTGGCCTCAAGCGACCCTTCTCCTCGAGGAGAAAGAGGAATAAGAGGAGCCCACGCCCAGGGTAATAGAGGCAAATTCTTCAACGTCAAAGTTGGGCGGAAAAGGCAACCCTTCATGTGGTTAATGCACATGATGGCAGGTGTAAATGCCATGAGATAGCAACATTATTAGTCCACAACTATGTCGAAATGGAGAGATCATTGGAAATTTGCCACGGACCAGAGCCGCTGTCTGGGGAGCGCCAGGGCACAGATGGAACTAGCGCTGTCTGTGACAGTATGCGAACCATAGTGGTGTGATGCTGAACAGGCGGACTCACATCGGGATACCCGAAATTACTCCAACCGAAGGAAGCAGTACGTACGATCTGTTAACTGTACCTGAGTACAAGTACTGATAAAACACAAGGGAACACTGAAGCTGCAATAACTCCCATACTGCAAATACATATCCCACCACAAGGCCGGCAAGATACTCTGTTCATTGAGCTTCCAGATCAAGATATACCTAGATATCACCTACATGAAGAGCTTGAATCACAATATCGACAGGCAATTATCGAATATGAGGGAATGAATCCTCATCTGAGATCAATAATTCCAAAACAGCACAGTTCAAAGAAACTGGACCGGTCCGGATGGCCGTGTTCGCTAAGGCAGTAGTGCCGTAGCGATCTCGGACCGAAGGCTCGCGGTTTCGAGTCCCGCCTCGGGCATGATTGTATTGTGTTCGTCCTTTCACCCCTTACCATCATCATACCGTGTCATCCTCACAGTTACCATACCGTTACACGCAATAGTGGTCGCTAATGACCAAGAAGTTAACGCGACCTTAAATGACAAAAAAAAGAAAGAAAAGAAACTGCTCATGCTAGTCAAAGAAGCAAATGAAAAAAATTGGTTGATGAGACCCAAATATCATGATCTATGACTAACTCGAATGTACAATCTATTGTATGGCAATTGCAATAGAGAGAATGAATGGCGGGAAAATATCTGAAATCCAATCAACTCAAGATTCCCAGCAACCGCAAAAAGAACCCCCATGGAAAATCCGGTTGTAAAAACGGATCGAACGCCTTAGATCATATGTTGCTACAGTGGAAGCTTTCCAGAGAGGAGCTAGAAGTAAATATCTGATAAATACAATAGTATATATTAAGAGGAAACATCGCATCCACACACACACACACCACAATATGAACAATACAAGTCTTCTTGACTTTATCGATGCCCTAGAACAGCAACTGAGTGACTATAGCCAACGTATATGCAGATATACAAAAAGCCTCAAGCGGGAAACAGACAACAAAGAATTTTTCGGGAGGCAAAAAAGCTTCTTCAGAAGACCAGGAAAAGGATACACAGAAATGAACATCCTGCCAGACAAAGCCGCTGTATAAGAAATCTACAGAGAAATATGGTCGCAAGAAAGTCACTTAAATGTCAACGCACCAGATCATAGAAATGTCAACTTCTCGAATCACTCAAGTTATCCTACAGAACAGATAGTGTTCAATTTGAAATGTTCGGGATTATATAGTTTGCATAGCTATTGGTACAAAACATTCACCAGTATCCATGGGAATATCCTAAATGTCATCAACAACTACCTGAATTATCCCGAAGAAATGATGCATTATCTATGTGAAGGTGTCACGTTTATGAAGCCCAAAAGCAGTGATACTGTAGATCCTGCAAAACACCAGCCTTTCACATGTCTTAACTCTTTTTATAAATCATCACAAGTTGTTTATCAATGATCCAACATCACTGTACAGCGAATTCTATCCTGGCTGAAACTCAAAGAGGATGTAGCAAAGGTTCCTCGGATGTAAAGAACTTATCATTGACAGCGACATGTCTCGAGCGTGTAAGAAGAGACGCAACTTGTCCACTTCTTTATTAACTATAAGAAAGCTTATGACATGGTGCCGCATGAATGGCTGCTCTACATACTGCCACTGTGCCGTTTTAATCCAACCATAGTGAGTTTCCTCAAATGCACTATGTGCAATTGGAAGACCACCATCCGTGTCGCGGAAAAAAATGAAACAGTGATCACCAATAAAATAAACATAAGGCTTGGCACTTTCCAAAATAACAGTCTGAGCCCGAAATGGTTTTGTCTGGACATGAACCCGTTCTCAACATTCCTCGAAGATCTACAAACAGGATTCGAACTGGAAGGCACCGAGAAGACCCGTATAACGCACTTAGCCTATATGGATGATATTAAACTTTATTCCGGTACGAAGCGTGAGCTAGATATGGAAATAAAAACCATTGAAGAATTTTCCGAAGACATTGATATGCAGTTGAGATTTGATAAGTGCAAAATTCAAGAAATAATTCAAGAATTCAAGAGTAATTCGCCAATGAAGAGAGACAGTAAGTGGAGAGATAATATTCAATCTGAAAGCCAATGAATTATACAAATATCTTGGTATACCAAAGGAATGTACGATAGCCCATGAAAATCTGAAGGGAACGCTAAAAATTGAGCTCACGAACCGACTCAAGACAGTTTTAGGAAATTCCCTCAATTTTCGAAACCTCACGGTTGCCATCAACACATACGCTCTTTCCATTGTCACATTTTCGATAGGTATTCTCAAATGGTCCTCAACAGACCTAGAGGAAATGGAAAGACAGGTGCGAGTCCAAATGACACGTGTTGGTTGCCACCACCCAAGAATCATATTCAGATGATGACTGCCGCGACGAATGGGAGGGCGTGGTTTCGTAAAGTTGACAAACAACCACGCTAAGCAGATAACAGCCATGAGGAAGTATTTTGCAAGAAAAGCGAATACTTCTTGACTTCACAAGGTGGTCGTACAGGCAGATGTCAACAGTACTTCTCTAAATTTAAAACAACAAAATATATCAATCCAACAGACATCTTTTCAACAAGAAATGTATTCCTCAAAACCGAAAGCTCCCCACAGTGTATATCCTACTGCAGTTGCCAATCCAAATGTCGACGGAAAATGTACAAACGGCTCAGCATAGGATATTTGTACCCTGAGAGTGAAGGCTTTATAGTGGCTATCCAAGATCAGGTTGTTCCAACGAAGAACTACTTTAAATACATATTGATACGTAATTGAAGCCATCCAACATATCATCTCGTGTCGCAGTGTACTAGCCCCAACAGACTACAAAACGAGACACGACGTAGTGGGCCAGATCATCGATGCCAAGCTCGCTAAGAAATAGACTCCTACAAAACACTGATACACCGCACTTGAAAGCGAGTCCCATGAGTTTGTTTGTTTATTTATTTATTTGTTTGTTTGTTTATTTATTTATTTATTTATTTATTTATTTATTTATTTATTTACTTATTTATTTGTTTGTTTGTTTGTTTGTTCGTTTGTTTGTTTATGTACTATGGGGAGAAGATAAATTGAAGTTACATTTATGTCCAGAAGCAAAACAAGGGGACATCTCAACATTTTCTCAGGGATCAGGGAAACTGGG